ATACCGATACTATTTGCTCTAGACCAATTTTTGTAGAATTGTCATAAATTTTGATCCAACCTTCCGATTGAGCTGAAAGTTTGAAACAATACAGAGGACGTCTAGTCTAAAACTTTCATGTTTTGTACATTTTCATATTCAAAGTGGATCATGGTTAAAAAGGAGTAAAACCGAGATACTACCACCAAATAGGGTGGGTGCTGGTGCCTAAGTTGCCAAGCACCAATACCTCCTTGATTTCTTTCACTTTTAAGCCTCCAAATCCTCATGTAATATCTCCATGTCTTCACCACACATCCACACTTAGTTGCAAGGTTCTAAAATACATGGTTTACTCTATAATTACCTGCAACATTGAAAATTCAACATTATTCATAATTTTGGTGAACTCTATGTACTTAGATGCAAAGTTGAGTTAAAATGCATGTAATGAGGTCGTTAAATATGCAATATTTTGTGCTCATCAAGGGTTACAAGGTAAAGCACAATAAGTAAGGAGCTGATCTTCGACGAAGAATGAGTGAATCATGTTCCACCCTTCACGACTTTGGTAAACCTCTATAAAAGTGGAAGAGTTTCACTTCTCTAAGGGAAGAAGGAAGCTCAAGTAATGGAAGTGAAAAGTGAATAATGAAAATAGAAGAAAGCTAGTCATTTTTGGAGGGTTTCCATCGCAACCAAAAGATGATCTATCTCCCTTGATACAAGTAAGTATAAGACTACGTCTAAGACTAATTCTACAACTACAAGTGGGAGTCTAAGCCTCCTTCAACTTTTTTACAAGTCTATGTCTCCTTCTTCTTGAAGCTCCCACAATGGGAGTATTTATAGGCAAGGAGGAGGGGGAAAGGTAGTTTGGAGGAATAGTACAAGGTCTTTAAAGTCCGAGTGAAAGTCCCAATGTCTAGAGAGAAGATCAACCACTCTGTAGATTGTCAGGGACAGCATTCGAACGTTATTTTGCGTTCAAACATTGCTTCTGTCTTTGCTTGATGGGCGTTCGAACGCCAGATAGGGTCTGACCTTCCCACTCAAGTGGCTTATGGTCTTATGTGGAAATCCATTTCCACACTCCATGCACAACTTGAGTTGGTGTTCAAACGTGGTACTCAAGTACCTCAGTGTTTTCCTTCTTGGCTACAACACACCATGTCCTAGCATCCTTGTCCTCAAATAGTTCAAATGGACGTTCGAACTGGAGTTAGCGTTTGAACGTGGTACTTTATTCCAAGCTTCTCCAATTTTGTTCCCCAATATGTTGGTGTTACATTCAAGTTTGATATTTGTTGCCCCTGAGCCCTTGTTCACTTTAGGACCTGAAATGTCATCATTTAAACTCCATCGAAGTATAATTAGTCTTAAAAAGCATAGTCATATGCTAATTTAAACTACTAATCAACAGGCCATTTGTTTGAGCCAAGTAGGCTCAAGGCAAAGGAGGATAATGTTAACTGTGCATCCTCTAAAGCCAATTGGATGATACCTATCTAAGACTACCTAGGGGAAGGCGCACTCCCAGAGAGTCCAATGGAAGCTAGAAAGTTAAGGATGAGAGCATCTAGGTATGTTATCCTACGTGATACTCTTTACAAGAAGAGTTATTCACTGCCACTCCTTTGCTGCCTCACCCCTAAGAAAGCCGATTATGCCATAAGGGAAATCCATGAGGGGATATGTAGAAATCACTCAGGAGGTCATGCACTAGCTCACAAGGCAATAAGGCAAGGCTATTACTAACCTAGCATGATCAGAGACACTTGTGAGTTTGTGAGTAAGAGTGACAAGTGTCAACGCTTTGTAATAGTGCCCAGACAACCACCAAAAGAGCTCATCACCATCTTAAGCCCTTGGCCTTTCTCCTTGTGGGGGATTGACATCCTAGGACCCCTACCTATGAGTCAAGCCCAGTGCAAATTTGTGGAAGTAGCCATTGACTACTTCACAAAATGGGCGGAAGCTAAGGCCTTAGTAAGGATAACATACCAGAAGGTGAAAGACTTCATCTGGAAGAGCATAGTCTGCTGCTTTGGAATACCTCATGCGATTGTAAGTGATAACGCCAAACAATGTGACAATAAACTCCTTAATAGCTTATGCACCCATTCCAGCCCAACCCATCAACAGGTCAACAAGAAGGCGGAGGCCATCATCAGAACCATCCTCCATAACCTGAAGACCAGATTGGAGAATGCCAAGGGAGATGGGTGGACGAGCTCCTAGGAGTACTATAGGTTTACCAGATTACTCCAAGAAGCCCTATGGGAGAGACCTCTTTCTCCTTAGCCTATGGGACAAAGGCAGTCATACTGGTCGAAATTGGGGTACACACCCTTAGGGTCCAACACCATGACCCTACCAATAATGAAGAAGGCCTTCGCATCAACCTCGACTTAGTAGAGGAGGAGAGGGAGATAGAAATGCTCCATAATGCAGAGTATAAGTGCCACATTTCCAAGTACTACAACTCGAGGGTGAAGCATCGCTCTTTCTTGCCTGGCGACATAGTCCTCAAAAAGTTCATCCTATCTACCAAGGACTCTAGGGAAAGGAAATTAGGCCCAAACTGGGAAGACCCTGCATGATCACAGAAGTTATAAGACCAGGCACCTACAAATTCAAAACTCTTAGGGAAAAGCCTTGGCCCATCCATGGAACGCGGAGCACCTAAAGAAGTATTACCAATAGCTAGGGGCAAGTCAATGGGTGCACAAGTCAATAGCCATCATTTAAACTATCTCTTGTTGTTTTAGTCAATTTTTTGTTGTTATCTACTTTAAATTATGAAATAAAATTTTGCAAGATTGTCTTTTTCAACAACTGTCCCTCATTCCATAGAAGTTCATAAACTATGTACAAAAGATAGAACATGACCTAACAACAAAAAGAGATACATGTAGATGAAAGTGTCATACTTCTGGCATCAATCGCTGCTCCTCGATCCATTCTTATCAAAGCTCTCCTCCACGTCATTAGTCCCCAGTGCCTTATAGGGGATGAAGTCAAAAAAATCAAAGGTAGGAAAAGTTGCTGAGAGTTCCTCATAACCATCGATAAAAGCGTCTGCTACGGCCCTCTCAACAGTCTCCCTCATCTTCTCCATCTCAATAGAATAAGCTTCTACCCTAGTAGCTCTCTCAAGAGCTGCTCACAGGTTAGTCTCTGTCACGGTAGCCCTCTCCCGAGCAATCCATAGCTCAGCCTCTACTCTAGCGACCTTCTTGCAGGACGCTTGTAACTCTATCTCTACTCTCGTCCAGGCAGCCTCTCTGTCAGCCCTCTCATGGGACGCCAAAAGCTCAGCCTTAAGAGGTGCAACTCTTTCATGAACAATCCTCAACTGTTCCTCGACAGCCTCTCATGCCTGCCTCTAGAGCCCCAATTGCTCCTTAGCAACCCTTTGTGCCTACCTCTCTGTTGCCAAGTCTCTGAATGCCTCTCTAACCTTCATCATCCTTGAAAAAAGGTAGGAAAAAGCGACAACCACCTACAAGTATACAAAAAGCAAGACATAAGGGAAAAGAAGCAAGTGCAAAGTCAAAGATGAGTAAACGACATACCATAGCAAAAGCCCTCCATAATAGTGTCAGTGATGCCCTTTGGAGTATGAGAACTAACCTCTTTAATATCCACGACAGTCACAAATCCCCAAAGCCATTCCATGGCCAGATTCATATCCCGTAGCATGGACATTGATTCACTACTAGAAGCCAGACAACTACATGGAACTTTGGACCTGACAGATGGAGACGTAGGAGTCTTAGCCCCTGACGTAGTAGTCAGACTAATCCCAACACTCAGAGGATCTGTGTGATGAGAAGGAGTGGGAGCAGCCTCTGATCCAACCTCCTAGGATATAACGTGGTTGTCAGATTGCCAGGAGGTACTGGGGGCATCAGCCTTTATCCTCTTGGGAGGAGGGGAAGATGCCAACATAGAGGCATAGAGAGCCTTTACCATCGCCCTATTAATAGTGGGGCTTGTGGAATTGGTGTGAGACTAAGAACCTACAAAGTCACATCCATCAAAAGTCTATTAGAAGGATCAAATACCTTTCCTCTTTTGCCTAGGGGAGGCCATGGGATGACCCAACGTGGATATGATGGCTAAAAACTCCTTGAAGGGATGATCCCGCATGACCTAGAGCCTAATCTCCTGCTCTGGAGATAACGTAAGGGAAGCTACAAAGAAACAAAACATGCAGTAAGTACAGGGACATGACGATCGAACATGAAAGTGAAGGTAAAAAAACCTACCTAGCTTGGTCCTCAGAACAGTGTCCCACCTCGAAGGCACTAGGTCGCAGTCTTCCTCAACGGCCCACTCACCTCTAACAAAGAAGAACCTAGATTTCTAGCTATGGCAATTTGAAGGCAATCATATGATAAACTTGCCCCGACCTTGGGGCAAAGTGATGGCACCCTTGATGAGGAAAAGGGTTATCTAGAAGCACGTATGAGGTAAACAAACTCCTCAAAAAGGGGAGAAACATCAACATTGTAGACCAAAAGCCATAATGAGAAGAATGCCAGAATCACCCTCCAACCATTGGGAGTCAACCTCCCTAAAGCCAATGATAGGTGCCCTAGAATCCGGCATATAGGTCTGGGTATGGGAAACCTAAACCCTACCTTTATGATGTCCTCATAAAAAATAATCTCTCCAGAGGAGTAAAAACACACCAGCTCGTCCCCTTCGGCTCGATGACACATAATAGCAGGCGAGATACGGTACAATGATGTAATGCAGGCAATGTCATCATCAAAATTGATTAAGCTAAAAATGAAGGTTACCTTCGACCAGTCACCTTTTGCAATCCTCTTGCCTTGTGGTGAGCCTTATGAAGCATCCCTCATTACGTCATGAATAGATTGGGTCCCTAAAAAATTTTGGAACCGATGTCAAGGAAGTTTCAATATCAAGTAGATGCCAAAACAAGAAAATCAAGTGGATGCCTCACTTTCACATGGTCTCACGCCCAACCCACTAGTGTCGCTTGGCATTCACCCGTCATCGCCCAGACTGCCAACTTCGCCGTTAGGCCCGTGCTCGCCATCACCAAATCCATCTGACTTGTGCCTGTCATTGCCATAGCCACCTGGCCTACACCTATTGGCACCCAGCTCGCTAGCACCGTCTATCTCATGCTCACATGTCCTACTCTCACCACGTGATTGGCTGGCGTCGCCCAGCGCATTAGCACCACCCAGCCGATTAGTGCAGCCCAATACTCCAAGCACGACGTCACCTTCACCTTCGCCCTCCATCACAGCATCACCTCTTCTTCTAGCCTCTTGTTCACTATCGATGTCACCTTGGGCATCGCCTTTATGGGTGTTGCCATGTGGGTAAGGGGGCATCACCCTTGGCTTTGCCATGGTGTCACTTAGGGTTGCACCTAGCTTTGCCATGGCATCGCCTGGGGCTTCATCGACAATGGATAGATGACCACCACTTGACCTCAATCTTGCTACAGCTTGCTTTGTTGATGAAGCTTCCATCTCCATTTTCTTTTGTGAAGCTCCTTGCACTGGAAAATTGTTCGAGATAAGGAATGAGGAAGAGAGTTAGAAGAATAAAAAGGATTCTCTCAAAGAGTTTACCTGTACCTTGGCTAATAGGTAGTGCCTTAGAAAAAAGAGGATTTTGACTGCTAGACCTAATGGAAGATTCACTGGATGAGATTATCTGCTACTACGAATGTTGCCCAACCATGAAATTACCAAATGAAGAAGAGGAGTTTTGTAAGTACAAAAGGATGAAGGGATGAACCTTGAGGCAGAAGATTCATTGGATGAACCATGATGGAAGATTCACTTATGCCCTCAATCTCCTTAACACCGCAAGGACTTGGGGCATGGGGGTAAAGGACAAGCCCATATTCAATTGGGTTAGGCCTAATTGATAAGATAAGCCCAAATCAGCTAAAAGACAGGTCAAGCCTAACTTATGGATCCGGCTTGATCCAAAGTCTAAGGGATCCAGGAAGATTAGCGTATGTGGGGAGTAATTACCAGGATAGTCACTCTCCTAGATGAAGGCTATCTCCAATTGTACCTATCCTTCCTGAAAAGCTAGTAACCTACCCATCATGCCACCGCCTCAACCAAGGCTCTATGCCTATAAATTGTGAGCCCTCTCTACATGAAAGGGGCATCTCCCTACACACCCTTTATATGACTATCTCTCTCTTAGCTACCTAGAGCTTACCCTTGAACTCTCTCTCTCTATCTCTCTCTCTCTCTCCCATCTACTACTTTATCAACAAAGTCCCCTGGCCACCATTGTCGCCTTCAAAGTGGAGTAGGTCACCCTGACCGAACCACTCTATATCTGTGTGTTTCTCATGTTGATCTTACCTTTATATTTACTGCATGTATTACCTATGTTAATTACTCAATAGGTAGTGCATAAATCCACTTTTGTGCATCATCAAAGAGAATGAAAATCCAAAATATTTTGAGTCGGAACATACCGCAAAGTTATTCGAATGTTTCTATTATAAGAAACTTGGATATAAACACCATTCCAAACTATCTTGCCCAAGAAATTGAACATCGTGTCTCCATTGTAAAAACACACAGACTAGTTCGAATAGATAAGAAACTCTATGGCTACTTTGCATATTCTTCTCAAATAGGTACATGGCCAACACTCATTAAGTGTAGAGAACCTAAAGTTGTTAAACCATATAAAATTCCCTAATTTTTTAACTGAAACTCGACAATGATTTGCAAATCAATGATAGAATCAAACACATGCTACATTGGAGCACGAAATATTCAAAATATCTCAAATCTAAGCTTTATTCTCTAAGGGAAACAACATATAAGGAGACAATTGAATACCACAAAGTAATTGAAGACAATAATAAAGCGGGAAAGAAAAAGGCATAAGTTTGGTGATGATGTTTCATTGTGTCAAAGCATTTGCATTCATGGTAAATTAATAATGGATGAGAGGTAAGAAGTGGAATGGGAAGAGCCATAAAATTCAAGTCTAAGAGAATTTACTTTGATTGTAATCAATGAGAAATAAGAAGTGTGAAAAGGAATAGCTACCGAATCCAACCGTTCAAAGTGAAAAGTAGATTGGCTACTTTAACTCCTATAATAGTTTATGACTGAGTCATTCTATGTTTTTTTTGGGGTGAAGGGAAGGAGAGGGGGACTTGAATCCTTGACCTCAAGAAGGCAAATCCATTATTAGATAAGGAGTACCATTGTAGCAAAGACTGAGTCATTCTATGTGACTTTTGATCTATCCATTTTAACTCATGGAATTTATTATCAGTTGATGTTCTAAATCAAATTAATTACATTAGGTATTAATGAAGGAAAATTTTGATATTAACTTATTAAGTAAGGAGAAATTTGGAAAACAAAAGTTTTTTCACTCAAGGTACATTTATAAGTAATAATATAGCTATATGCGATGTGAATAAAAAGTGTTCTAAACTTAATATGTTAATCAAAATGAAGTATAATTAATAACATATATTGTCAAAGTTATCGTAATTATAATTTCCACACTCCCCTCACAGTTGACGTCTAAGTACACCATTCACACGACGAAATGATATATATTTAGGAGAGAATGAGGTACCATTACTAGCTCATGTACCACATAAAAAACCAAGTGCATTTCATAATAACAATGCTAATATTAATAAGAAAGTGTATTCAGAATGTTCAAAAACTATATAAAAATATGGTGGATGTTTTTGGTGACCCAATGCCCAATTTGAGCATTGTTTTAATGATCACAAACATCCCAATGTGATTAATGATCGGATTAAATGTTTAGATAAAGTGTAACTGATTGAATATGACAAAGAAAAGGCTAAGGAAGAAACAGGAATGAAGAGGGAAAGAGATCAAGATGAGAAAAGGAAATAGAAAATAATCTGAAAGAGTAACTAGCATACCAGTTGGCAATGTCTGGTATGCCTGATGACTGAACCGATCTGTCGGAAGTCCAACCAGCATACCTTGATGTTTTACAGTATCTACTGAATCCAAGCCTGTTGAACCGACATACTAGATGTCCAACTGGCATATCTTAAGAACTTATAGTATGTCCACTATAATAGTAAGTTCCTGATGTGGGAGAGGCGAAGTGTGAACCGACATAGCTGACAGTATTCCAGACATAACTCCAGAAACTACCAACTTATCTTATTGAGCCATTAAATGACCCCAACTATAAATACAAAGCCTTTAATACTTGGGGTAGTCTTTTAGGAAATTCTATTATTGAGCAAAGACTAGAAGAAAACTTTCTAGCTTATTTTTGAAAGATCATTCAGAGATTATTGTAGTGAGCATTACTTGAACAAAACCCTCATACTTTGCTCTGTATTTGAATTGAGAGAATACATATTGAGCAAGACTGAGAGAACATTGTTAGCATTCTTGAAGAAAGCTTTAAAAGAGAGATTTGATTTGTATTCAAGAAGAAAAAGTTATAAGGGTTTGAATCACACCCATCGAAGGGATTTAAAGAAAAGAAAGGGAACTTCCAAGGGACATGGAACAAAGGACGTAGGTCAAGTGTGTTGGGGCCGAACCTTTATAAACCTTGTGTTTGCTTCTCTATCTTTCTTACCCTTGCACATATTACTTGTTCACTCACATTCACTACATTCATGTTAATCATACTCTTGCATTTACATTGAACAATTTCACAAATAAAAAAAATAATTTTTAACTAAGCATTTTTACAGAAAAACCTAATTCACCCCCCTTAGGTTGCATATTGGGCCAATAATTGTAAGGGCCCTAGTTATGTATGATGAGAAAACATGCATCATACATAAATTTGGAAGGTAGAGTAATGGTTTTTCAATTTTTAACTCTGCATCATATAACCATTAACCATTAAATAACATTAATTAATCTTTTGCTTAGCATGGAATTAGATGTATCAATAGCAAAATCTCAATAAGCTATAAAATATGGTTGGGTGGTAGCATAAATACCATGTCACCCTATGAGAAACCATAAAATTTTTAGGATTACCATTAGGCCACACCCAATCAAATAATGGTCATGCATTACCATCCTGTGATGGGCCTCTAATGGAGGACAGTAAGTTGAAGTGATATTACAAAACCTTTTGGGTACAAAATTCAATAATTTTATTTAGTCTTAATTTGATAACTTAATTCATCACAAATGATGATGCACAAAGTTGACTATGCACGATTAAATCAGTCGAGTGTGTCATATGCAAGAAGCAATTAATAATAAGAGACAAAGACTGGGTGGTTGGGTCTAGGTGACCTAACCACTAAAGGCGACAACGGTGACTGGAGAACTCTATTAATAAGAGAGTATAATGTAGGAGAAAGAGATAGAAAGAGAGCAAGAGTATGCTCAAGGTGTAGTGTGTGAGATCTCTGTTCTCATATGTAGGGGGTTTACAATTTATAGGCACAATTTATTGGGAAAGATAGCAAAAATTGGGATCTCATCCCCATGAGGTGATGACATGAAGGTCAAGCTACTAATTTATCGGGGAAGATAGCTTAAATTGGGGATAGGCACTATCTTTAAGTAATGGCTATCCTATTGATTGATCTCCCACGTGCATCGACTCTTCTTGCACTCATGAGCTTTGGATTGGATTGAGGTCATGAGTTGAGTTTGGTCTGCCTTTTGATGATTTGGGCTTAACCCATGAACTGGGCCTAGGCTTGGTCTAAATTTGGGCTCATTATTTGCCCCCATGCCTCAAGCCTTAGTAGTGATAGGGGGTCTAGGGCATGAGTGAGGTCCTTCATTTGGGTAAACCAAGGTATCTTGTTCCTCACGATGGCTTCTTTAGCTTTCTACACCATTGCATTTTCAAAGCTTATTTCTCCATTTTGGTAGTACCATTGTTGGACACTCATTGCGCTAGCAAACAAATTCCTCTTTTGGGTCTCTCATTGGTTTGAAAAATCTTCATTATGTTGCATTACAAACCCCATTTTCTGACTAGAGCTAGGGCAGTGCCATTCTCTTTTTTCCTTCCACATGTAGTAGAAAAAGGATGATAAGAGGCATGGACGCTTTTGCATGAGTAGATGGAGATGGAGATGCTTTGATGAGTGGCGCCTTGGAAAGTGAGAGAGGCTTGGGTGGTGCCACGTAGATGAACTTGGGCGATCCCAGGGGAGGCGTAGGCTGGGTGGTGTCATGGATGACACCATGGAGGACCTAGGCAAACTGATGATGTCTTCGGTTTCTAAAAATTCTCTCCTTTATTCAGACTCCACAAGTGATCCCATGGTTGATAGATCAATGGTGATAGCTATCTATGTGACTAGGATGACGACTTACCCTCCTCCTAAGAGGGGGAGATCTAAGGCCCCTAGTGCTTCTCAGCTAAGGTCTGATGGCCCTACTATTTCTCGAAAGATGGGCTCTGATGGTGTCCCCACTGTTCTTACTTTACTAAGACAAGTCCTAGGGTTGAGTCCTAAGACCACTTTAGAGATTGAGGCTCCTGTTTAGACTTTACTAAGACCAGAGCTCCGCATAATTGTCCTGCTTTTAGTAGTGGCCCGGTGTCTATGCTGCAGAACATGAATTTAGCCAAGGAGCGACTTTGGAGGTTCGTGACACCCTCGAATGTTAGAGAGATTTACTCTTAGGGTCCTGAGGGTATCATCGATACTGCGATGGAAGGCTTTGGTATGGTAATCGTCTTTTCTGTGCAACCTTGTCTTCTATATGTTTTGGTTATACTAACATTGTTCATTTTGGATATCCGTAGATGGCTACAACTTTTCCAAGCCTTTTTTTGAGGACGCTCAAA